TATATACATACATATATATATATATATATATATATATATATATATATATTTATATATATATATAATTTGCCACTGTTTAGCGAAAGATGACTGTCGTTCAAACCTTTCCCTCTGGCTGTTTATTTTGCGTAAATTGTACCGGTAGCTTTCGTTATTCTAATTTTGTTTATGAATCTATTGCTTCCATCATTGAGGTGTATTTGTAAGAGAAGGGGAACAAGCCTACTGTGCTTTCTAAGTTTATCTGACTCTAAACTTGCGTTGACGTGCTTGTTATGCAGAACGCGTTTTCTTAACACTGAATTTTATCCAGGCCGTTGTGTTGTTGTGGTTCGCAATGCATTGCGGGTTGAAAGTTCTCATGCCTCTAGTGGTATATCTAGGGTCGTTGGTCGGAGCTAAACATCAGTAAATTAGTAGGAAAGTTGTGTAGGGAATTGCCTCATGGTACATTATCTGACGTCATCAAGACACGACAAATACATGGCCGTCTGAAGTTCATTTTTGGATAAAATTCATATTTGAGGAAGACTGCACCCATAATGTTGCAATTTTGAAGAACAAATTATCCCAAGATGATGCCTCCAGAAACCTACGCTTAACCCCGCATTGACCGACCTTACACCTCATAATGGTCGTTCACCCTATCGAAGATGTACATACAACATTCAAGACAACCTGACCACGGAGTTCTTATCAATATACTTCATCTTTGTTGATTACAAACAATAATTAAAGTGATTAATCTTACATCTAACCCATACATACTCTCAGTAATGTTTGTTTTGTGAGTGGAATCCCTTGCAGATTTGTTTGATAGTTTCTGTTTTAATCGATTTTACATTAATGTGGGGGCCTCTAACATCTGATGTTGCATTACCAGATTTTCTACGCAGTGTTCTTTAATTGATGATTGATTGATTGATTGAATTTATTCGATGCTCCACATGCACAAATTAAACACAAAAATAATTTGATAACAAGAAAAGTAGAAATTAATGAGCATCAGGAACGCCCATTAGGCCGGGTCTAGCTCATTTCTAATGGGGGGAAAAAAATTTCGCGACGTATAAAATCATTAATATTTAAAATTTTAAAATTGACATGAAATTATGATATACAAATAAAACCAATCTTTAATAGGAGAGTAGAAGAATATACAGAATATAGACTGTTTATTTCCTTTTCTTTCTTTTACTTTTGACCAATAAAATTTCTTGTTTCGTGTGATTTGCAAAAAAAAAAGAAATTAAAAATATTAAAAAAAAAATATTTAAAAAATTACCACCTGAAAATCACATTCAACCAATAAAAAAGTATGTAGTATATAAATACTGTAATCTGTTCACACAGATTTAAATTTTACCGCTCGTTGGCGTATCTCTATATTATTCCCAGGAATATTTTAGTAAGGTTTATGTGCGTAGGCCGCAAACTATTCCATTTAATTTATAGGCACAAGTAAATACAGAGCTTTATGATCAATTAAAAGATAATAAAGTGTAAACTATTTCGGGAATGCATGTTGGCATAATACATATTAAATTGTCAATTAAGATAAGAACAAACAATATTTCCGACAAGGGTGTGGGTTAGTGGGTGCTGGGTGGGTGGGATGATCAACGGCGGCGAAAGCGGAAGGGGCCATTGGCCCCTCCACTTTTTTCTACTGGGGAATGCCCCCCCCCACTTCTGTGACGTCTCCCAGCACCAGTGACAAAAAATGTTAACGAACGCTATACAATGTCATTATTATTATTATTATTATTATTATTATTATTATTATTTGGTGCTTACACATTGTTTATGTTCGCCTTATAAATCGATCTATTATTATGATAATACTCATACAGGATTTTTTACCTTATGACATCCCCACCCAAATTCAAAAACGTTCCGCCGCCGTTGGGGATGATGTGTGCCCAATGAGGGCGCAGAGTACGTACCCTTTTTCTTGACTGGATCTTGAGTTAAGCCTTGTTAATAACCCTGTACATTTGGGTTCAAGTTATCACCACCTTTGCGAAAACATGCTATAGATAGGCCAATTGTTAAAATGAAATGAGCAAATTTACTTACATATTTATGTTTTAGTAAAAATGGGTACCGGCTTATGTTAAGAAGGTACACCAAATCATTTTATATGGTACTTTGACAGATACAAACATCAAAGAAAGAGAGATAGACACACCAGGCTATGTGCTCAGCAGAGCTGTTTTACCTTACATTTTATATTTCTTTTTTTACTTCATTCACATACACTATTCAAAATTAAGTCACAACATGTCTTACTTTAGATGGTGCATACAATTCTGTAATGCAAAATTAATATTAAAAAAAACAAACAAAAAAAAACAAAAAAAAAAACACGTAGGCCTAAGTGTTAGAAGGGACTCCAATCTACTAAACTCCGTTATACAAATATTTTCATATATTTATACATAACACGCCTATACATAGAAAGCAAAAGAGATTAGTTACTGGCATTAAATGATTACATATTATATTATATTACCGTATTAAAGCAAATGAACTAAATTAAAAAATTAATTATGCATTTTTCATAATATAGGCCTACATATTTTATGTATCTTCTGAAATGTGTGCACGTCTATAATCGGAGAGAATGCATTTTATGAACAAAGATGATAAAGAATTGATTATGATTTTGGTTGAAACATCGTCTGTGCAGTGCTGTTTATACCAGCGTTCCGCAAACTTTTACTTCACGGCCTATTTACGATTCCGCACCTAGCCGCGGCCCAGCAGCCCAGCCGCGCCAGGGACCGACATACCAAATCTTGGCAAGACCTTTTGATTATAAAGCCTCCATTTATATACAATATTTTGACATCATTATCTGTTCTCTCCGTGATAAAATTTCATTGTATACAAATTAAATATTATTTTATTAAATAAATAATACCGTACATTTGTTTTCCCCCACCCCACAATTGTTGATTGTTTTTTTTTCTACCATGTTTCAACCAAACACGGTTCAGCCACACACGTCATAGCTTTCTCCTTCTTCCAAAAAACTTTTACGCACACTCAGACTAAAGACTACCTTACTATACAGGTATTATGTTTAGCAATAAAGTATCCACATGGGCATTCGGTTATCAAGAAATGTGTTGTGTTTACTGTAGTGATCTTTCTAGGACAAGTCTTATATTTATTTTTATCTTTAGCTCATGACTCATCCCATCATTCCTCCATACCGGATTTATTCGATCTTACAGGGTTAATACTAGACGGTAACATAGTGTCTAGCTCCCGAGGAGGCATAGACACAAAAACCGCTTATAACTCAAATAGCACCCATCATCTGGAACTTTAGCGGCGTGTGCAAGCGACGCATTCGCTGTAACAATAAAGCGGCTATATTAAAATCTATTTTCTCCATGATGAAACGTCTCTTTGTTATTTTTCCGCGAATTTGGGCCGCGGACCATAGTTTGCGAAACGTCGGTTTATACCAAAGTCTAACAAATGTTAGATTGTACTCATGATGGTGGCGCTAAACAAAATTTACTGTAAACGTTGCAGTTGGAAGTCTTTGTTGAGGATGTTTTAATCACTTTAATGTTAGATCTTAACAATTAAGATTTGGATTGAGCCTCGTTTATCCAATGAGGTATACATTTTTGTTAAACATATTTGTTATGCCTTGGTCTAATGATCTCCAAAGCATTGACACCTTGCTGCTTTTAAACTACACAAGTGATGAATCTGTTTAAATATTTTCCTGTTAACATTCTTAAACTTATCTACACGGGATAAAAAAACACATTTCGTCGCTTGAGAAAAAAAAAAATTTTCTACAGGCCTAGTAGATTCTAAAATTGATAAAAAATAAGCACTTCGAAACCCCTAATTGCCACATTTTCGGGGCTTCGCCACCTGGAACACGGCAACGCCCGACCACGCCCACTTATTTTCGTCGGGGACATCGACCCCCACCCCAGTCGGGCACTGAACCCTGGCGCCACTGCTTAAATTACGGTATACTTGCCTGCGGTAATACTCGTGATTATCTTATTATAAAATCATCCAGAAGAGGATAATTAAGTCTCTCTCGAGTGTTGCACGTCGTGCACACATCATCATTTTAAAGAACATCATATTCTTAGTTATGAACTATTATATAATTACTTAATGTTCGTATTTTTGTTTTACTTAGAAAGCGGGGACATCCCACTGGTTTATTCGAACTTTATGAAAAAAAAACCAATGTGGTTCATCATTATTTTACTAGGCAAAGACACGATTATCATCTTCCTTTTACTAGGCTTTTGCTCTATGTTTAAAGCAAAAAACTATTTTTTTTACCATGGCCTTGAACTCTAGAAAGAGGGATATTTTTGTTAACCTTTGAACAATTGGAAATAAATTAAATGTTTAATGATAGAAAAGAAATTTTGATCCCTGGCCCTCATTTTTTTAAAATTATTTTGATTACTCAAACGACCCGGAATTTATTTGGCGAATGGTAAGGGTGTCAGTCTATGCCCGGGCATCATAAATTTTAGCGAAGCTGCCTTCGATTACTAATCATTAGAATAAAGTCCAATTTATGAAACCTCTTAAAAATCCCTTCAATATTATAATTACTCAGTCATGTGGTTATTGGATATTGGTTTGTGTAGTGCATGAGCGACATCAGGATCGGAATGTGAGATATCAGAAATTAGACCTAGGCCTATATAAAGAGCCGCATGAGCCTTAAAACATGTCAGGGTTGAGCCAAAGGTTAAGCTGATCATGTTTCTTATATATTTGCTGCCCTCAACTACAGGCTAACTTGTAAAAATCATCTATTGGGATAATTCATTTGGAAGTAGGCCTAGGCCAACCAGCATCAATCTATCAACACACAACCGGATCGCCGAATCTGAAACATTATTTGAACACAAACAGTTTTAGCATGCTGCGAAACGTTCTTTTCAGTTCACTGAAGACCTCAGTATTTGGTCGTACACAAACGACATGTGTCAATGCAGTTTTTAATAAACGGTGAGCTTTGTAATTGACGTTAATCAATGACAACGGTGTGTCTAGGCTAGGCTAAGCCTATCCCTATCTCATCTGAGCTAGGCGACAGGCAGCATGACCTTCCCTTACCACTTGACTTAGTTTTGGCCTAGGGCCTAGCCTATGTGGTGAGAGTGACAATTACATTTTGGCAGTGGTGTGAGGGAAAAAGCTCCTCCTGCCTCCCCTCCCCCATCCCCAGTCTGTTCCCCCTCACCTCTGGAAATTGGTCTCATTTCACCTTTTGATTTTGGTGCCACCAGGCAAAACAATACGTAACTGAATTTTTGTTGATTTTGAGATAATATTTGGAAATAAAATTAAACACTTCTGAATTATTTGTGAAAATTTCAGGTCTTAACAATGAGTCGTTTCAGAAATAGCACCACCTATCTTTAAGCACAACTTAAAATCTAGTGATTCTTGGGTAAAACAACGTTAACTGCAAGATTAGGGGGAAAATCAATGTATTCAAAAATTGTTTTGATTTGATGGAGTTTTGCACAGCAATGTCAACTGGTTGATGGTGTTTTCATATCAATTAACAACGACATATGCACAAGATAGTTATATAAATTCCTCAGATGTGATACTTTCATACAATATGTTGCACTTGTGACAATACCGCGCCTGACATGTTTTCGAGGTAAAACAACGTATCTGTGAATATCGTTAATAACTTTGTAATAAACTAATGGATGTAATTAAAATTGTATAATCGTAATGTCTGTAGATATATAGTCCTGCAAAATTTCAGAAGGATATGACAATTTATTGCCAAGTTGCAAACATGCAAATTTTAACGCTATTTTTCTTGAAAAATTAAAATTTTAAGTTACGTTGTTTTGTCACTGAACGAGTGCACCTCAGTTTCATTTATCCCTACCCCCACCCAATCATCCCACCCATTTCACTCCTAGATCTGCTACTGAATTTTTGAAATTTGATGGGTCAGTAGGTCATACTTTCTACCCGACTGACCACAGGGCCTACTGCAGTGTATGTATATGACTGACCACAGGGCCTACTGTATATATATTATATTATTTTCTGTAGTATAGTGATTTAGATTTAAAAAAAATTTAGATTAAAAACTATATATAATATTAACTAAGTGGTTGTTTTCCCTATGAAAATATATAAATTGTTTTAATGGTGTTTGCTATTGCTATGTAAATTAACAGTTTTAAAACAAAGTTAAATCATTGTCTAAACACACTCACCCATCCCAACAGGCAGTCAAAACTTTACATGCAATGTCAATGTATTAGGCCGTCTCTCTAAAATTCAGAAACCCATACAATATTGATCATTTTAACCAGAATTTGGATAATTATACCTTTAGTTACATTAGTTTTGATTGTTAATATTCTTGGGTGGATAAATTAAATATTATTAACATTTTTGCATCAAAATGTTGTGGTGTTTAGTAGGTCTTGGTTGATCAGTCTGCAAACTTTCTTCCTTTTAACTTTACTATTGGTTTAGGGTTTAGTGGAAACCATCATTCATCATTCTCCAGTGCATATTTGTTAATATTTGTAGCCACAGGGTAAAATCTAGGTTAAAATATAAAATCTCTTATTAAAGTTTGGAAATTGACCTTTTGATACATTACAACTTTTTTAAAGAGTCATTTTAGTCTAATATAGAATAGCGCGAAAGCTCAGAGATTTTTCCCAAAACATTATATTTTAATTTCTCTTCCTTTCATACTCCTGATGTTGTCTAAAAATTTTGTTTCTTGTTGAAAATGAAATTATGGAGCTGTACTTGCTTCGTTGTTATTAAAAGATTGACTTGGATTCTTTACATCATGTGTTAAGAGAAATTGTCTGATAACATGATTCTATGAAGCAATTCTATTTAGTGCAGTTAGGTCTGTGAAGTAATTCTTGCAGCAGTTTTAAAACATGATTTTCCATCATTCCATCCTTTTTATGTTCCTGAAACTAAAATACAGTTTATGTAGGAGTTGACTTCCAAAAAACGGAGACAGTGAACATTGTTGTTTGCTGTGTTGACAATGTTTAAAGTCCAATTTACTTAAAAGATATCAAAATGGCTGTATACTGTATGACCTGGTTTAGCCTGCTGCAAGGAAATAGAGTAAACCTAATTTCTGATGACTTACACAAAATCCTGAAGGTTAAATCAAAAATACTAAAACACAAGGTAGAACTCTCGCATAGTAAAAGTGAAGCAGATATACGATACGTCATATCTTTTATCCAGATCCAGATGTACGTGGCACCCTTCTGTTTCCATGGCAATTTATGTAAGTTTATATTCATAACAGATCCAGATGTACGCAGCGCCTCATGTAATGGTGCGCTGCGTATGACTGGATATAAACAAACTTGCGTTAGTACAGTTTACCCACAGTGCAATTCAGTGATACAGTTTTTTTTATGTTGAGAGTTCTTTCTTATGTTTCTAATAGCCTATCTTCAGTTAGAACTCAGTCGTGGTAATGTAGTACAGTAGTAAACTTTTGTTTTTTATAAGAACACATACTGTAAGAATACTGAGACTGAAATTGCTTAAAAATTAAGAACAAATGGAGGCTGAGTTAAAATATCAAATGAGATTTTTATTTTAAAAGAACTAGAAAAGCAAACAAATGTTATCTGTACCATAATGTGTAGTAGGTGGCTATGTAATACTCTGTATACAGTACAATAATATACTAAGCCTGTACAATAATAATTTTCTAAGCTTGAAAAGTGTATAAAAATAAGAACAAATTAAGAACATTTCCAAAAACCGAAAGGTCCACTGATTAATCTCAGATAAGAAAGTATAATACATACTCCAAGTATTGAAATACACGCCATCGTGTTGGGATTCAATATTTCGACATTAATTATGTCATCATCAGGAAATGATCATCATGAATGAATCCCAACACGATGGCGTGTATTTCAATACTTGGAGTATGTATTATACTTTCTTATTTAAGAACATTTCTAGCCTGAAATCGGCCAAAAAATAAGAACACTGAGCCTGGGCAAAATTTGACTGGTTCTTTTTTTTTTTTTTTCTTTTTAAAAAAGTGTAGTAGGAGTGTGTAGGCTAAAGGTATGAGCCTTTAATTGATAACTAAGTAGGTACAACAGGATATACGATAAGATAAGATAATCGCTTTCTGTATTCACAAGTTCAAATTCAACATAACAGTAGTAGAAGTATTAAAACATTACCGGTCATGCATTGAACGTTCACTTGCGTCACACATGACATATAATTCAATGTTAAATGTCATACATTTCTTTCTTGTTAGAATAGGGTGGCAGAAATGGGTGGATATGAAATGGATACAGTATGTACCCTGTATCAAAGCATTTTTTTAAAACATTTTATTGTTTGATATCTCTATCAAAAGTTAATGCCATTTTAAAGGTAACTCGGATTTATGTTTAAAATTTATTATTTTAAATAATATTGTGAGTGTAGCAGGGATTAATTAAATCCATGAATAATTTACTAAATTGTGCAGAAAAAAAATTAACCAAGAGAGCAGACTTGTAATTTATTATGCTGAATATTTCTTACCTGCATTTAACTGTGTTCCTGGTTCAAGAGCTTTCAAACTATGTACACTATACTTTTAAACTACACTATACTAGAGTAAAAAGTTGCCAAGAATACTTACAAATAATTGAATCAAAATGATTATTATTATTATTATTATTATTATTATTATTATTATTATTATTATTGTTATTATTATTACTACTTATAAAACTAAATTGGTATTAATAGACACACTTTTGAACAATTTTTCATTAATTACAACAAAACATTTGTGAATTTTGTGAGGCTAGCTCAGCTGGTTGTAAAGTAATTTTTTTCTTTGTGAATTAGGAGTTTGTTATAGTGAAACTTATTGTATGCGTACAAACTGTCTATTGCAGGTCATTCTGTGCCCGGCCAGAGATTGGTCAAGCTGAAAAACTGACCGACATTGGTACACGTAGGATAATGACATCAGATCATGATATGTTCCGTCAAACTGTGCGAAAGTTTTTTCAAGATGAAATTGCACCTCACCAGGACAAGTGAATATAATAATGTTTTTTTTAAATTAAATTTATATTTAGTTTAAACAATTAAGTTTTGAATATGAAATACGGATATGGGCCTCTACACAGAACCAGTGGCTTTACCGTCTTTTTCCAAAAATTGTTCTCTCAAGTAACCTGCAACTAAAAAGAAACTACAGCCAAACTATGGTTTGACCCCAACAATTGCAACATTATGTTTTTTTTTTCACTGCTATGTATTTCAGTTATATCCTCTGAAGTGGTGGATAGTGTTCAAATTTACATAAATATGCAATTTAGCTGTCGCCATGATAACGTAATCAAATTTGACACAATATTCTTATATCGAAGCATTCAACCTTTCCAAACAAAGAATGTATATCTATGTTTTCTAGAATAATCCATATTAGTTAAATATATATAGTACTAGTAGTGATGATAAAAACTATCATTTAAAAACCCCTCTTTACAACCAAGTTGCTTTAATGGGCCCTAAGCGGTGAGTACCACATTTGGAATTGGAATAGCTTCATTCATCACATTTTTGACATTTTCAGGTGGGAAAAACAAGGTTACGTTGACCGGTGGGCCTGGGAACGAGCTGGTGAGACCGGCATCCTAGGAGTTGATGTCCCGGAAGAAAAGGGCGGTCTCGGAGGCGATGTGATGTCAGCGCACGTTGTGCTGGAAGAGCAGTAAGCAATTGATGCAATTTGATTTATACAAATTCTGCACAGTGTAATTACACTGTAAAGGGTAATGGTAGTCAATTTACCTATAATAACTCATAGTTGCATTGTGCTGAATTTATACTTAATAAATGAGTATCATCTTAGTAATCACACCCTTTCTCAATGGGACTAAAGTTTACCAGTAACCCTCCACACTTCTGAAAGATATGTTGGGTTGTTGAAACTGCACACGTCAGATGTGTTCACAGGGCCTCTGGTTTATGTCCTATAGGAGAAGTCTTCATTCTACCAACTAAACCATGAGGTTTCGAACCAATGCTGATATTCAGACTAGGCTACGTAGTCAACCAATCATCTGCTGAATTCAATTGACATTATCAGCTTCAATGTCTACATTTTTTATTTTCATTATTCAAAGATTTTTGTTGTTTTTATGACAAGAACATAAAGGAATATATATTACAATTAAGAAAAAATAATAATAATGGGCATGGATGTACAATATTATTTTTTGTTATTATTTTGTATTACAGGGTTTATGCTAACTATCCAGGGCCTAGCTACCCAATTCATGATGTGAACCTGCACTATGTATTGAACTACGGTTCCAAGGAACAGCTTGATAGATACATCCCTGGATTGATATCCGGCAAATTAATCAGTGCCATAGGAATGACAGAACCAAGTGCTGGAAGGTAACCAGAGATTGTTAAATTGATTGATCAGTGGTGGGTTCAGGGGGATCGGACAAACCCCCCTCTTTGAAGAAACGTAACAAAATACTACTGGGTCCTGGCTTACAAAATGCATGCTTACCTACCTAGGCATATGTTGGCTGATCGGACAAACTAGGGTTAGCCCAACTAGCCTTCAATTAAATAAAATTAAAAACACTGTTTTGGTTTGATGTTGTAATAATTTATGTACGAAAGTGCATTCTTCAGGCCTGTCAGTTCATCGACCTATGGAAGAAAGACTACGTATTCAACTACTCAATATTTTTTTAATATAATAATATATTGCCTATGTCTTTAATGATCTTTTTTTCTCTATGTATATGCCTAAAGAATGAGATAAAATTACCTGACTTTTTTTAAGAGGGGGAAAACCTTGAATTTTGAAGAACTTAAGGTCATTAAAAGACATCTCAGAAGTCGGGGAAAGCTCATTTCCGACCATCTAGGAAAAGGAGGAACCCCCGGTCCCCCCTTTCAATTTGGGGTTTTTTGGAAACATTTTGAACCTCCCTCGTTCAAATCCTAGATCCGCCCCTGTTGATTGATTTATTACTTTTGCATCCAAAGGCAAGTAACTCACCAATTACAGAATGGAATGATGACTCTCAATCAGTCTTAGGGAGTGGGGTTGTTTTGTGTTATATATAGGAACATGCTTTTGATTGTTTTTTTTTTTAATCCACCCTATGCTTTAATATACTGTAATCATTACCCTATTTTGCTACAGTGACCTCCAAGGGATCAAAACCTTTGCAAAGAAGGATGGAGATGACTGGATTCTGAATGGCAGCAAGGTACATTATTCTGCAATTATTATACAGGTTTCCCTCCAATTAAAGACCACTTTTGGGACCAGGTTTCCATGGTTTTTAGCAGCTTTGGTCTCTAATTAGAATAAAAATAAAGACATTTGTTAATTTGGGACCACAGAAAAGTGGTCTTTAATTGGAGATGGTCTGCAATTATTATAATGTGTTTAATGAAAAAATTAATAAAGCATTTTTTTTTCTAAATGTATACAGTAAAATGTTTATTTTACAAACGTCGATTTTATGAATGGTCTTCGCCATTAATGACTTCATCATCGACCAATTATTACCATAAAAAAAGTATGATTGTGCACGTTCTAATGTATATTTTTCTTAATAAAATCAAGTTTGTTGTATTTATTTATTAATAGTTTGATCTTTTTTTTTCTATTTCTGGTATTAATCACTATATTAATGTAATAAACCTAAGCAGAACAACAAACTACCAATGCAAGTGTCATTGGATCGAGCACACATTTTTACCATGAGAGCATTGTGGTCCCCAACTTATTGACATCGTGAATGTTAGGTATGATCGCGAAATGCATGTAAACAACACAATTCGGCGATCTAAAAACTAGAAAGAACACGATAGAAAGGGCCATAAAACATACAGATGTTTGAATAAGAGTAAAAATAATATTTTGTAAAGTGGAAGAATGCCAGAGGTTAAAATAATTTGGTTTTTATCGAAGGTAAATTCAGCTAGGCTTTAGCGCGGTAGACCACGCTGCTGCACTGTTGGTTCGTGCTAGGCCTGGCTGCCGTCAGCCTATCAGCGCTCAATGGCAGGGGAAAGCTAGGCCAAGGTATTGGAAACTGACACCCTTTCTAGTTTACAAATTTTTCAATTTACAAACACAAGAACACCCCTTGGTACCAAGGGGTATGTAAAATGGACGTTTTTACTGTACCAGGCTTTGATACAAAATTAGGCTCTGCACATCTCATTTGTAAGCTGTCAAAGGATCTTCGAATATTCTTGCTATTTAGGTCCCAAAAAACAACAATGTAAACCTATGTCAGGGGACCCAAGTTGGAAGAAGCCAGTTTTGGGAGGTGTGTTTAATTGAGCCTTCCTAACACATCTGATATTATTTTGTTGCACATGGTGGTACCCTTTGGTACTGACTTCCGAGAGACAATTGATAACACAGTATAGTAAAAGCATAAAAATATCTTAATTTGTGGAGGCTGGGTTAATTTCCAGGTGATTCCCACAACTTGGTAGAATACTTGAGTCCCCTGATATGTAAAGGCCTACATTTTTCGAGGCAAACGTGTATTCCAGGCTCTATTCTGATTGTCACTCTAAAAGGTCTATTATGCCTTTTTATTTGAATATTATTTTTTGTGTTTCCTGAAGCATGTCTGCTATGAAGTTTAAGACAGTAGTAATTTTTGTTAAATGCCTGGCCATTTTATTTTATATTAGAAGTTTTGGTAGCTTCATTCATGATTAAGCTAATAAATTTTCATTTGGTTCATCTAGGTCTTTATAACAAATGGATACATGTGTGATGTTGCCATCATCGTTGCTGTCACAGATCCCAACGCAAAGAAAATAGCTCACGGAATCAGTCTCTTCCTGGTAGATGCCGGCATGCCCGGCTTTCAGAAAGGACGTATTTTACAGAAAATTGGGCAGAAGGCAGTTGTAAGTTTTTAAATTTCTATAGGTACTATACATCTTTGAATAGGTAATACAACACCAATTAGGTGGCGTCCTGTCTATGGGCTCTCAGAGGACGAAGCCTCAGGTCCCCCAGTCAAATGGGGCCCTGGAGTGTGTAAAAAAAAGTTGTTTTTATTGTTTATAGTCACACAATATTATATTCTTTATCGATACGGAAACTGCCTTTAATGCCTGTAAGGTTAGCGTATACTTTACTGAAATTCATGGGCCCCAACACGTTTTCACCTGGGCCCCACAACTTGTTGTTATGCCAAAATTGATTAAATTCTCCCATTATATTGATCTTCATGCTTTATCAATTCCAGTTTTAAAACTGACTCTCAAGCCAAATTCCACTAACACAATGTAGCATAAATGTACTATTACATCTTAATCATTATCAATATTATATTATTTTTCAGGATACGGCAGAACTATTTTTTGAAGATGTCCGTATACCTCAGTGTAACCTATTGGGTGAGGTCAACAAAGGTTTCTATTACCTTATGGATCAGTTACCAAGGGAACGGTTAATTGTAGCCAGCCTGGCAAATGGCCATGCTGAGTTCATGTTTGAAGAGACAAGGAATTATGTCCGCGAAAGAAAAGCATTTGGAAAAACACTTTCCAATTTACAGGTTTGTAAAATTACAATCACATTTCGTACTTTGTGAGAGTGGATAGCACATCAGTTGTGATTTGGACTATAAACTTTTGAGGTTGTAGGTTCAAAATTATGAATTTTGCTTGTGTCCTTGGGCAAGGCACTTACCTTCCCCCACCCCCTTCACATTGTGTGTTTGGGTATGTAATCAAAATTTCATCATCAAAAAATGCAAATTCGATTGTATTTTCCTTTCATTGCAAAATTAACATCTATTCCTAAACTGCACTTCTTAATGGTTATTTATTATGGTTGCTGGCAAGTGTCCTACTTTATATCATGAATTTCTGTTTTCTGGTTTCAGACTATTCAACACAAGTTGGCCGAGATGAAAACCGAAATCTGTATAGGGCGTGCATTCATAGACCAGTGTATTGAGCTGTATGCCGAAGGACGCCTCGATTCCTCAACTGCCTCCATGGCAAAGTACTGGTTAGTACTGTACATTTTCTTCTGCTATTATTACTAGATACCTTTCTAGTATTTATAGAAAACATATAGAATTTAATATTGTAATTTAATATTGTTTTTAATAGCATACACATGTTCCAACTCTAACATTAAAAGATAGGCTATTATTTATTTTTACATTTTAATATTTTATATATTGTATTGTTGTTTAGTGTTTTAATGTCATTTTATCTACCAAGCATAAAAATAATAGGGAGAATTCTTTTAATGGCAACATAAAAGTTACAGTAGTATGTAAACGAACTAACTGGTTTTCATGGGCATGGAAAATCAGTGCGTTTGACTTCCTGAACACAATGCAAGAAGTGTTCAGTAGGTCACAGGTTGGCAAAGTGCGGTCCGTGGGCTGCATGTGCCCTCGACCATGTGGCCAGCGAAAACGAATTAAAAACCCTATGTGTGCAGCCCACCAAGCAACATTGGCTAGAAAACACCTTGTTCATATGTAAAAAGTAACATTTAAACTGAGAATAAAGTGGTGTAAAAGCAGTGCCTGGAGATTCTTGGAAGCTCACTGGAAACATCAAAGTTTGTGTATGGCCCTCTGTGTTAAATCAAAAATTCACTTTGGCCCTTCAACCGATTTTTATGGCAACCCTGCTGTAGATAATTACACTTACAGTGTACATACTTTGTAGAGCAAAGTTGGTGCATTTGAAAACTATCTATTGAATGACATTTGCCAATTATATGCAAGTACAATTAAATCCCTTTCAGAATATTGTAGTAACTGCCAATAGGTGCGATTTCACGGCATTAGAAGGCGTAAATCAGAACCACAGTGAAAGTAATTCACTTAAATTTCTTTATTTTTTTTTTATGTATTTCAGGTGCTCAGACTTAGAAAACAAGGTTGCTGCGCAGTGCCTACAGTTGCACGGTGGGTGGGGCTACATGTGGGAGTACCCAATAGCAAGAGCCTTCGCGGATGCCCGTGTTCAAACCATCTACGCTGGTAGCAACGAGATAATGAAGGAACTTATTGCTCGACAAATTGTTACTGGAAATTAATCTTCAAATTGGGTGTCTAGAATTTATTACCTCTTTTTTTGAATGTTGTTTAGCTAAGAGCCAAAGACTTCTATGTCCGTTGGGGGCAGGTTTCATCGCCCTGATACAACATACCATTTACTGAGACTAGTCTGTGATTTGTTTTCAAGGCAATGTTAAATCTTAACTTTATTTTTTAACAAGATGTTTAAGATGTTGCTTTTAATGCTTGATTTTTTTATTCTTTACATTGCCCTACTTATTTTTGGTAGTATTTTAGGTTCTGGCTGCTGTTTTTGACTTTCATTTTATGTTATGCCTTGGAACATGTTTACCTAGATAAATGCACATTATAAATGCTTTATTTAATGATTACCCATCGAAAAATCTTGTACGTCATAAGTACTATCTGCACAAAACATGCCTTATACATTGTATTACATGTAACACTTTTAATCCGAGTTGTTCTGAACTTCAAAAATGGTACTATATTTTTTTTTTATTATTGTCTTTATTTAAATAATTTATTTGGAAATGCAATGATTTGTGTGTTGTAATTATTTTTTATTTATTTTTAATTTATTGCAATATTGATTGATTCATGTACAGTATACACTCTTTGAATTTCAAAAGTTAATATAAAACTATTTTCTAATTCAAGATGTAAATTATATTATATATATAGGTAGTAAATATTATTAAGGTACTGTATTCTGAAACCAGATGTACTATATTATCTGTCTGCTGCCCTCTATAATAGTGTGATCATTTCTACAAATTGTCCTTAAAGTGCCCAATAGTTGATGAAATCAACAATAAAACAATACAAAGTATTTCCAGTATTAATATTTCATTTGTTTATTTTAAACTTGTATGCTTATACTGTATGTTCAGCAATAACTTAAAAGCAATAGGAATTTCAAATTTATTAACATTTTTAAAGTAGTTTTTTAGTCACATAAAACATCTTTTATGAAGCTTTACCAAAATTTCAAATCTGTGTGCTTGTCTAATATACTATATATGCTACTGCTACCTGGGAAAATGCATTTACGCACAATATCCTTATTTTGTTTTATGTTTTATATATCCTTTACATCAGCGATCCACAACTGGTGGCTAATTGCATATATGCCAAATTGCATGTGTATTGGAACATTTATTAATCATTGTATAATTGGAATAAGCACAACTCCATCACATTTGAGTATATATACAGCAACAATGCTGGTTCAGGACTTCTACTACAAGGCATAATTTAACACAGTACAGTAGTATTAAATCAATGTTCTAGAATGGTGGCATATGGGGCTTGCCATGCAAAAACAGCATCAGTGACCAATTCATATTTTCCACATTATACTTTTCTCTTTAAAATGATAGGTCATTTACGGGAATCTATGTATTATTGCCAAAGTTGTGAGTAAAATGTATTACAGCTTCTCTGTACTAAAGTATACAATAATGCCACATTCTTACGCCAATTAATCAGTTTAATTAGTTTAATTTCATTTAGTGACAGTATGCTGGTTCTGGGATGGCAAGCTTCATATATCTACATGCTGGCAAATTCTAGAGTATTATTTTAAAGAATGTTTCATATGACTTGTTTTGAACATATCACATCAAACAAATGCCCTTCTTCAGCAAACAAGGACTAATCAAACATAAGACTTCCTCTGATAGGTGTGTGCTTGTTGTCATATGATTATGCTATATAGTTTTAGTGCCAGATGTGTTTGGCCAACATCAACAGTTAAGTCGTCACTGTTTACTCTACTGTGATTTCACTCGATCATTCCCAGAGTGGTTTCAGTTGGTGAGTGTAATGAGGGATGACACCAGGTGCCCCTTGTGCTCTCTTAGACTCTTCTCAGCTGCTGGACGGGAAATTTCAAGCTCATTCACCTGTAAAATAATTTGAAATTTATAATGAGCCATTCAATTGACTTTATCAAAGAGTATAATAGAACAAGAGAGTGTACTCCTGTTTGTAAAAACGTCACTCCTCTAGTTATGATGGTCGCCATCATCGTTATGTAGTGCGGCCACTATGTATGAGTTCACATAAAGTGTGCCCGCTTCGATTGGTATGATGATAAAGAAAAAATAAGGAAATCTTCCGGCCTCTATGAAAGTTTTTTATCATGTGGAAAACAGAGATACAAGTAAACCATGCACCGTGCATTACTGGTTAATCCATTGGCAATGGCAGCGGGCGTCCTACACTGGCTGCGTATGCCGTATCATTTTCTACATTCTAAATGAGCGTAGTTGGCTCCCCTATTTATACTCTTTAAGATGTTGAATAAATACACTGAATTAGTGACTTACTATTAAATCAACATCCTCTTTCCTTATGACAACTTTAGCAAGTTCTTTTTCTCTGAAATTAAAATAAGATTACCTCAATTCCCTCATGAAACAACATCAGGCATTAAAGACTGCCAATGTTTGGGGAATAAATACGTTTTGTAATTAACACATCCAATGAATACTGTAATTTTTCTACATGCTAGCAATAACTGATTACCGTTTAAAAAGAATCATGTAACATTATGTCTTCACTAAACAATAAATATTTATATTTCATGGGAGAATTACTTACACCAAAACTGAGTTGACTCAAACATCTCATAAAACAAAATCAAATAGAGCAAATACATAAAAATAACTGCATTCATAAAAACAAAAATAAAAAAATATTAACGAATAATTGTAAACACAAATAAAAAAACATTTTATTTAAATGAGCAGCTATTTCTGACAAGCTAACTATTGAATAATTAGTATCACTTTTATTTATAATCATTTACTTATTTTTAGGGCCTTTAAATTCGTTTTGCATTCGTTTACCTTTCTGCCTTTGCCTTTTTTTCCTTTGCCAATTTATCGTCCAAAGCTGCAATTGCTGCCTGTAAAAAGGGTTTGTTAAAATCAATTATATTACTCCATCATGTATATATAAATTCACTGTCGATGATAAGGAAGGTCTTAATTAACAACACTATTACTGCTAGGCCTAATACTATGCTGCTCAGCCAGTCAATGATAGAGCTCCGGGTGGCCTAGGCTACGCTTTCCGCCGCCTAGCCTAACTACTAACTAGGAGGAGAAACTAGCTTGAATTGAAGAGAGAGAGATGGGGGCTAGGCCTAGGCGGTGAACAAGAATTATCGATGAAGTATACTTACAACTGTTAAAGCAGATGATATTTCAGCTTCTTCGGCATAGTCTGTAACTCTTTCAAGATCGGCCGCCCCACTATCGTGTTTTTTAACTTTGGGAGTTGCATTTGCGAGATCTTCTTGTTCGATCTCTTGATCAACAGCGTCCATGTTGTCGGCCATTTTGATAAATTTCGGGAAACCCCCCTCAAGCTATCGCAAGAGGGCGTAAATAAATTTGATTTTGTTTTGTTGAAATTCAGCGGGCTGTGTGAAAATGACAGCTGGACCGTGTAGGGAAGAGAAGTTGTGTATTGTGTCTGCTGTTTTCAGTGCTCGTGTGTGAAATAAAACAAGTATTTTTGGTGAACAGAAGATAATGTCAATGATGATGATTGTAAGATTGTCGTAACAGACGTAAGTTAAAAAAAATTTACACTAAAAATAAACTTTTATTCACAGTACCGTAGACTTGGCAAGAGGGGTAGGCACGTCTTCCTGGTTAGTGCAGCGCTAAAGAGGTAGGCCTAGTGTCGTGATGTTTTTATCAAAGTGATAGAAGTTTGTTCGAGGTCGATATTCATTGATATTGTTGATTTATCTGTGTATCTTTCCATGAAATTCCTCTTCATACATGAACACATATACAGTAATTAAGGTTTCCTTTAGTTATAACTTGCAATAAAGAAAGATGTATGTTTTAGGAAGTGGATATATTTACGTCGCCGTAAACAAATCAGTAAACGATATATTTACGTAAATGAAACAACGCATGCGCAGTCATACTTTAATAAACTTGCATTATCGGTCACGTAAATTTATCGATTCACGTTAAATGTACGTTAATGCGGAGTTCAACTTTCAGACTCCAAATTAGCATCGGCCTTTTGCTGAATGCTGTACCATGAATCCACGGTGCACGAAAATCAAATCTTCAAACGTGGACGTGTTTATTATAGTCATGTTAAAATACATTAACTTGACACAAATTTTTCTTGTAAAAACAAATGGTTTCTACTCTTTAAAAAGCCATTGATCAAATCGACGGCAAATCAATGCACATGGGGAATCCCCAAATTGGTTGTATGAATTTTCGTAAACAGTTTAGACTAGCAGATACTGTAGGTACAGTATTTAAATTATAATTTTACCGTTCTTACTAAACGTAATTAAATTTACTATAGTAGTAGCCCATGTATATATTTCAATTAAATAAAATAATTGGATGATTGTGATAATGAGCTAGAAGTATTCGTTTCACTTTCTCACATCATGACCACAACGTCGAGCGGGGCTGTTTATTCCACCAGCGTGACCACTGCTTGGGTATTTACCCAAGATCTTGGGTATTTTGATCCTTGGGTATTTTATTTTTACTAAGAAAATTAAATATTTTTGTCATAGAGGAAGAATTAAGAAGTAACAAAGTATATTTCAGTCCAATCAAGTAAGCAAAACTCAACGAAGTGCACATAACATTGTTAATTGACTGTTAATTGCTATAAACATGGGTTCAGAATTGTTTATTTGTGATTTGCTTTGCCATTGATCTTACCTAATTAATGCATTACATAATAAAACTTGATCACTGATAACACTGGCCAACTGAGGGCGTATTTTTCTATCCGTATTATCACCTCATGAATATTAATTTTAATAATTTTTCGTAATGATTAAATATCTTACAGAAAACACACGCATATTTAAATTATTTGTTGTTTACTTCTTGCTTCATAGTGCAGTACTTTGTAGAGTGGATCATGTGCTCTCCAAACATGGTCTTCCTGTATGTTCTTCGCGATCGATCGGGGCTCTGCTCGACCCGACCCGACTAAAGACAAATATAAACACAATAATGACCTGGTTTAACCGTAGGTCTATAGTTAGTATTGATCCTTGTTTTGTACAGCCTGGATAGGAGGAATTTCCAGAGCAGAGAGATGTGTACTGTATCATGTGAAACAAAGTCAAAGTGGTTATTTTTCCGACGCAGTGAATTAAGATAACGTGGTTGAAGTTTAGGGTTAGGAACAAACCATTTCCACCAATCAATCAATGCCTCGTTATGCATAAAAATGGTTGGAACAATACTGGCCAATTAAAATTGATCATGTCTCGAGGTTTGGTACAATACGCTATCTTGGTAATGATAAAGAAGGTTAGGGTTGGCAACAGCTAGGGACACCGTTACTGTGTAGTGTTTCGTACTACTGTACTCCTAGCCACTGCCAATTAAAATTTGGTTGATTACCAATACCAAGTCAAACTATCACCATTTCCACGGCTAAGTGGTTTATAGTCATTTTAGCAAGCAAAACTGACCTTTTGGTTATTAATTCCGTGACATATCCAACCACACCCCCTCCCCTCACCTAATCTAAAAGGGCTCAATGCACCTAGTGCTCTGCTCATATATTATGGTCCCCAGCACTCCTTATCCCCAACAATTAGGGTCTGAATAGTCCTATATTCTGATGCTTACAGATTGATGAATTATATTTTATGAATTGATTAATAAAATAATGTGTGTATCTCATACTTGCCAATTTTTTTCACAATTCCATCAACTTCACAGATAATTTATCAGGCAGTTAGTATCAAATTACGTACCCAGATGTCTAATGTTTGTTATTGATATTTAACTTTACAGGAAAAATTATGTTTTTAATTGCCTTATTGAAAAGCATTCTTTTTTATGACAAAATAGAGACATGAGCAATAAACACAGAGGTTTCACATCATCATGTTATTGCATGATGTAATGCATCCTCCTCCCCCCACATTTTGATGGCTACATTGCACATTTCTCCGTTATAAACTAGGTTTTGAAACTATGGCAACAATGTTATGAATTCATACTTTTCATTAAATTTGATATCTTGTGTTTTTGTTTGTTTTCTCCATGGATATATGATTCCGAAAATGAAACGAAAGTGAAATGCCTCTGTTCCCACTCCATTTTATTTGTTTAAAATTTTTGGTGGCTAACCAAATAATGTTTTTAATAATTGCTTTTGCACCAGAAAATTACCTTCCATTAATATTTCAGTTGTTATGTGAAGTAAGATTTACAGTTTGTTCAGTGCGCACTCACTGATTAATTTACTTGATGTTATTTGACAGAAATTGTTCAGTAAATTGCCTACGTTGTGGTGATCGTGGATTGATGAGAGTTTTAATGTGTTTTAGGCTGCATAAAGTAAATGACCTCATATGATGCTAACGCAGTATGAACCTAATTTCAAGTATTGTACAGTGGGTGAACGTAAGGTGAATTTAAGGTGTGACTCAATGCATTATAATCACAGTGAGATTTTGATGTAAGATTAGGTTTTAAAGATAGGATTGATGGGTTTCTACAATACAAGCTCAAGTTAAGACAAATGGAGCTATTGGGCTTAGTGGTTAAGACGCCATTTTTCTAATCCTATGATGGCCCTGGGTTCAGGTCTTGACAAATAAAAAAAAACTGCGCTTAAACAATTTTTTATAGCTCTTTGAGTGGTGCTCGAACCGGGGGCTTGTTTAAATTAGATGCTTATTGAAAAATTTGATGGTGCTTTATTTCCAGTAGCCTACTGTAGGTTGTTTCCATAGGAAGGTACAAATGTTTTTACCAAATGAGACACAGTACTTCTTCAGTTCTGCACCACAACTAATCAATAAATTTCATTTGACATCTTGATTCTCAGGCCCAGGTTATGCACATCAACATTTGTTTTCTATTTTGATTTTACTTCAGAGTTCAAACATCCAAATTATTATTGAGCATACACTTTCTACTATAATCCATTGAAAATTAAACAAACTTTTTGGAAGGTTTCCACTCTGAATTTGTGTTTTATAATGAAACTTTAAAAAACACATTGGTCCTTTTCTTGAGAAAACAGTATTGGAAGGGTTGGAAGGACGGTGGAGGGTGGGGGCAGTTGGAATAAAGAGTTGATAATATTTAATGCAAGTTTAGGAATTTAACACAGATATAAAACTACAGGTATTATAATTTCTATCTGCTGATGATGGTCTATTGTTATTTTCATTTCACACAAAGGTGGGTAGCCAATTCATTAAAGGGTTTCTGATTATATTAGCATAGATATGGATCTATAGGAAACAATGGATTTAACTCTGTAAAGCTATTTGTAAAAAAAAAATCAATCATGTTTTAAATGGATTCACTGGTACCACATCATATTCATACCTTTCCACGAGACGGATTTACTGTACTTGAACTTTGACTATGTATATTATGGACATCTTCGTTTAAATAGGTTGTCTCAAAACCTATTGTCATATTTATATAAATCATAAATGTAGCATAATGCTAAATCAACAATTAAAGATGTTCTATGTATGGAAAAATATGGGGAATCGTAGAAAGTCAATATACCATATATAATCATTCCAGTCAACATTATGAAATCAATTCAGTTTTTACTACAGAAATAAATTTATTATTTAATTGATCACAATTGTAAAATGTGCAATATCTAATGAATAGCGTGAAGATGATGATGTTGAGACTATCAGCCAATTTAAGGGTCTATCAAAATATGCAAATTAATAGAGTTTTTGTGTCAGTTGATTGGTGAAAGAATAAAAGCCTAATATCTTAAATTTGGTAAGCTTTTCATATATTGAATTTTATTGATAAATTCTATGAACTCACTAAAGCAAACAGTAATCATACTGTATGTGCGCCAACTACCAACGACACGATGATGCTGGCTCGTTTCATGACACGTTTTAATACAAATCGTAATGACAAGAATTCACCATCAAAGACAATTGACGAAACTCAATCCATTTCTTTGATGTTTGCTTGCATAGTTAGATGGCATGTAATCATATCAACATACCATCCAGTAACGAACTCCAGTCTTCTAAGTTCAGCATAGTGACATTTACCGCAAGCAAGTGGATATTTCCACTCACGTCCGTTTTAATTATCTCATTATTAATAAGATACCTAACCCGGCACCCGTGGTATTGAGCAAGTCTTTTAGTTTATTTGCTTGGATCTTGAGGAATTCTAGTTGGATATATCAGACAAATATGAAAAATACTGAGGACAACTTGTTTTCCTTATTTGCTTTGAATTGGAAGAATTCTAGTTAATCCACCTGAATAATCAAAATATTCTGGCAAATTCTTTCCATTTTTCTCCCAATTTATCTCCCTGGAATTGCAGGATTTCTGTCTTGAGACCTT